TTCTTTAGTAAACAGAAAGTCTTGTTAGTGTTTAATGTTTGCTTATGTTAGAGATTTAGAAGAGTTTGTGTTATGTTTTGATGTTTGCTGATTCTAGATGTATATGATAATAAAATTGTAAAAAAAAAAATATTTAACATACATTGCTAGTTAGAATGCTAGTTGGTATGGCACAGGAACTTCAATTTAATAATAAGCTTCTGTTATTTTTGTACTAACCTAATGTTTCTAAAAGTTAATTGAACAATATATTTATTTATTTATCTTTGAGTGAAGCACTATTTAAACGTTACTGATTCAGTCAATGATTTCAGCCATTTCAAAACCCATTTTGGTCAATTTCTTTCTTGTCATTCAAATATTTTTACCTGCAGAAATTTTGGTGCATCACTAGTATTCTGCATTATGACTGAGGATTCTGAAGTTTCAAAATGTACTTTATTTCATTGCATTTCAATTCTAGATATCCTTATCAAATTCTCTCCCACCCTTGATAATTATTAGCATAATAACACTGAAATACTGAGTGTGGCCAGTATTGATTTAAAAAGAACGTGACAGGCGAGCACTGGTTTTGTTGTGTTTATTGAAGAGGTTTTGATTGACAGCATAATTCCGTCAGGCACAGGCTGATAGAGTGTAAAGAGGTTTAACAGCTCGGAAGGGGCACAACTGAAACAGAACGGAATGTTCCACAGATACAGAGATATGGAAAAATAACATAAAACACTGTTAGTCAACTATTCCATTCTTTTGTTAAACAGAGAGGGATGCAGATGCTGAACGACTTTAATTCTGCAAACGTGTTACCTCACCGCATAAAGAAAGATATTCTATCTGGAATGCAATGCAATTCTTCTGTAAGAAAATACTGTAAAGAAGCTTTCATCCCTATTAAAACAAAACAAAAACACCTATATAAAATCTACTCGACATATAACAATCATTTGCAAATTTAAATCTATAACTTAATTTAATATCTTAATTCTAATAAGAGCTGAATGGCACTATCAAATAGAGCTTAAGAGGAAAAGAACAAATGTGTAAAACAAAAGAGTGTTGACATCAGACCAGTATTGCTCATCATCCAGCCACTTTAAAAGTGCTGGGGAAACACATTGTCCTTTCAAACTGTCTGGATGTTCATTGTAAACATTTAAGAAAACTTTCTTCAACCCCTAAACGCATCTCGGCTCTACCTCCATCCCAAAACTCACAAGCATGAAGGAATGCTGTCCTTTTGAATAAGAGAAGGTCATGAAAGCAAACGGGTCAACCAATAAAAGCACAAGCAGAGTTGTTTTGAGGTAGGAGACGGTTCTAACATCTGAAAGCTCGACTGAAAAACAACACACGAGGACAGAAGTGTTCCCTGCGTGCGTCAGGGTTCAGGCACGCCACTTCAGCGGTTAAACACGGCAACGCATATCAGCCGAGGAGTGAGTGAAACACCAGCATGAATCCATCTACTGAACATATGAACTAAACAAAAACACAATCACCATCTGAAATAAAAAAAAAAAAAGGGGAAAAAAAAAAAAAAAAAAAAAAAAAAAAAAACGAAACATAAATACAAGGAAATAAATAACGTGGATTTGTGACAAGGGGGGGAAAGGACCAGCAACATTGTTTGATATGTTTGAAACAACGCAAAAGGGCTGTCAGTAGTAGAGCGGAGGATGCGGAGGTGAGCCAGAGGTTACAGGTTGTACAAAAAATGAAGCTGAGAGTGATCGCTTGCCCTGCCATCCCACACCAAACAGTAAACGAACAACTCCACACGTAATGGACAAACACTCAAAACACTGTCTCCAACAGAACATGATGTCCCTCAGCTGGAAGAAGAAATCACAGAACAACGTCATCCGTATCTTTAAGAACCCAATCTGAGAATCAAGGTAACAAAGTGCCTTACGCATATTTACTTTCTCATTCGAAGAAACACCCTGCTTATATCTTTTATTGATGTGGCCGTACATTCAAACCGTATGTTGCAATATTCAGCCACTCAGCTCCCTCCCAGGCACTTGACAAGTACAAAAATTCAATGGTTTGCAGGAGGAGGGAGCAACTGCTTCACTCGGCACCTGTACAGTCATCTCCTATCAAATCTACAGTTTTCGTAGTTTAGCAGCAAGCGAATCATCCTCTTTTTTCCCCCATTATATATTATTGCCGGCTTTCTGCTTGAATGCAATTGTCTGAGGACACCCTGAGACACGACCAAGCTATCCCATAATGCTTTGCTTAGATTCGCAGGGCCAGAGACACTCATCTGACAACCATGCACACTGGAGTTGAATAGCAATAACGGTTCTTTCAGCCACTCAGCTCCCTCCCAGGCACTTGACAAGTACAAAAATTCAATGATTTGCAGGAGGAGGGAGCGACTGCTTCACTCGGCACCTGTACAGTCACCTCCTATCAAATCTACAGTTTTCATAGTTTAGCAGCAAACAAATCATCCTCTTTTTTTCCCCCATTATATATTATTGCCGGCTTTCTGCTTGAATGCAATTGTCTGAGGACACCCTGAGACACGACCAAGCTATCCCATAATGCTTCGCTTAGATTCGCAGGGCCAGAGACACTCATCTGACAACCATGCATGCTAGAGTTGAATAGCAATAACGGTTCTGTACTCATTAACATAAAACTCAGAGCAGAGAGAAAGATTTTGGCACTTTGCAAACATACCGACCTGGAGGATTACCTCAAAATGTTATTATACATATTCATTAGCAAAAGAGCAAATAAGAGTGACAAACTCATAGTATGGTTTCACCATATATCTATATGCTATGGTAGGTTTTACCCACATAGCACTCCTTCATATCATAGAGCTGGATGAAATGACCACAGCGCTCATAATCAGAGAAAACCAACACTGTTTTTTTTAAATACTGTAGCGAACAGATTTGCTTATGACTCATGCATGGAAGCCCAAATATGGAGATTTTTTTTTTTTAAATATACAAAAACGATGAAAAGTGCTTTAAGTGTGAGTCTGACTGGAGTTAAAAATAGACACTTGTGCAGTTTCCTCATGAAGATCAGAAGCACTTGTGGTCCTTTTATCATTAAATTCAATACTGAGATACGGGCAAAGCAACTTCTGGTGTACTTATTTTGTGTTTAGAATTCATAATTTCATAATTTTGCTCTGCTGCTATCGCCAATTAGTTTCTCATACATTCTTGTCACTGTAAATTAAGAAATGGAAGAAAACAAGCAAAAATAAAATACAACCCACCAGTTGAAATCTTGCACTTCTGTGGTAAATAACTTACAAAATTGAAAAGAAAAACCCTTTGTTTACAGTACCAAAACCCGACTATAATTTTAGACCCCTTAAAAACCTTACGTCTATAAATAGCTTTACAAATATACATGTTAATTCAAATAAAACTTTTGTTTTGCTTTTTTAAGATGAAATGTTTACATGATCTCAACAGTGTATGCTCACTTGCTCTAAAAAAGTCATTCTTTCTTTTCTTTTCTTTTTTTTTTTTAAAGTACACTGCTACCGACTGCAATATGATACATATTTATATCTATATATTTACAATAAAAACTTTAAGATACATACAAAGCACACAGTTATATATCTTCTAATTAAATCTCACATCTAGGAGAACCTTCTCTCTTTTCTTATTAAAAAAGGATGAAAAATGTTCTTTGTGAGGAGTGGAGAGGAGAGACTGGCCATGGGTTTGATTCTCACTCCAGTCAGATATTGCTGTAAAAATACTTCCTGTCCATGTGTGACAGGACGACTCTATCTGTCGCTTCAGAACTGTGCTGTTACACAGTGTCAATCCATTCTTTCTATTTCCTGTCCATCAATTTGTCTGTTTTTGGTAGGCACGGAATGGTTTGACCCTTCTTACTGTGTCGCGCAAAGGAAAAACGAAACTGGCCTAATACAAAAATAGGAATTCTCTTTTCAAAGACAAAAATCTGAATAATAATTTGGAAGAAAAGGAGCTGAAGGAGAGGGGCGTAATCCGTCCTTCAGACCAGTGAACAGTTTGAAGTCTGAAGCTTCTCGTTGAGCGTTTCATGACATCCACACTGTACCAGGAGCCCGTCTGCACTGCCGCCACATGCTGGTCCAGTGCAGTGAACCGGAAGGTCCCCACAAACCACCATTTCTGTCCTGGGCCCTTATGTTCGTATGACCCCATTGCTGTGGAGGTGATGTTTAGGGAGGCAGGGCTCGTCAGGTAAGGGGTCGTGAGCAAACACAGAGTCGTCGCCGGAGGAACAGGTGCTGTTGGAGTCTGGGCAGGTAGGGGAGTACTGCTCGAACGACACCGATAGGTCCAGATACTCCTGATGGATCAAATGCACACAAACACACACATCAGAATGGGCAAGTTCTGGATAATAAAGGTTAAGGTGTTTGGTTGGATGCACGAAAGTTACGTGCAATTTTTTTGATATATATATATATATATATATATATATATATATATATATATACACACATATATATAATACCATACATTAAACCATGGAGTTTTATTTATTGATTTTTTCGCACTAAGCCATATTTTTTTTATTGTTTAGCCCTACTCTACAGCATTATTTTAAGAGATGAACAAAAAAGGTTTTAAGAGTTTCCTAGATGAAAGGCAAAGTAAATCAAAAGCGTACAGTTCATGAGTGCAGTTGGCAGGTTTGTCCATCCGATGACCCTCCTTCAGCAGTTTAAAGAGCTCCTCCACTGGGATACCTGGGTACGGTGAGCCGCCCAGTGTGAAAATCTCCCACAACAACACTCCGTAAGACCACCTGAGATGCAAGAGAGGTCACAGTTCAGAGCAATCACACATTTATAGTACAGTACAAAACACAAGTCCAATTCAATGACAAATGAAGTGTCTAAACCAGTGGTCTCAAACTCAATTCCTTCTCACATCTAGGAGAACCTTCTCTCTTTTCTTATTAAAAAAGGATGAAAAATGTTCTTTGTGAGGAGTGGAGAGGAGAGACTGGCCATGGGTTTGATTCTCACTCCAGTCAGATATTGCTGTAAAAATACTTCCTGTCCATGTGTGACAGGACGACTCTATCTGTCGCTTCAGAACTGTGCTGTTACACAGTGTCAATCCATTCTTTCTATTTCCTGTCCATCAATTTGTCTGTTTTTGGTAGGCACGGAATGGTTTGACCCTTCTTACTGTGTCGCGCAAAGGAAAAACGAAACTGGCCTAATACAAAAATAGGAATTCTCTTTTCAAAGACAAAAATCTGAATAATAATTTGGAAGAAAAGGAGCTGAAGGAGAGGGGCGTAATCCGTCCTTCAGACCAGTGAACAGTTTGAAGTCTGAAGCTTCTCGTTGAGCGTTTCATGACATCCACACTGTACCAGGAGCCCGTCTGCACTGCCGCCACATGCTGGTCCAGTGCAGTGAACCGGAAGGTCCCCACAAACCACCATTTCTGTCCTGGGCCCTTATGTTCGTATGACCCCATTGCTGTGGAGGTGATGTTTAGGGAGGCAGGGCTCGTCAGGTAAGGGGTCGTGAGCAAACACAGAGTCGTCGCCGGAGGAACAGGTGCTGTTGGAGTCTGGGCAGGTAGGGGAGTACTGCTCGAACGACACCGATAGGTCCAGATACTCCTGATGGATCAAATGCACACAAACACACACATCAGAATGGGCAAGTTCTGGATAATAAAGGTTAAGGTGTTTGGTTGGATGCACGAGAGCTCTTACGTCAGTGGAGGTCATGGAAAGAACCCTGTCGTGATCCTCCACCAGCTGTCTGAACGTGGGTCTTTGTGAAGGAACAGCGTGCCAACACTCCCTCATAATCATGTACCTGCACAAATCACAACACAAAACAATACATACATTTAATATGTGCCAGAAATAAAAACAAATGATATTGATGGGTAATAGGTGCATCCACGTCATATCAGAATTGTTCTAATTACGAGATTCCGACTTTTAAAAAGCAGTCACGTTCTTGTAGAACTCGTAATTACTTTTAATAACTTATATATATATATATATATATATATATATATATATACACACATATATATA